CCCCCCATGTGTGGATGTGACCCGAGGTGGACCTGGACCCCCCCCCATGTGTGGATGTGACCCGAGGTGGACCTGGACCCCCCATGTGTGGATGTGACCTGAGGTGGACCGGGAGACGCCCCCCATGTATGGATGTGACACGAGGTGTTCCAGGAGCCCCGCTCCCCCATGTGTGGATGTGACCCGAGGTGGACCGGGAGACGCCCCCCATGTGTGGATGTGACCCGAGGTGGACCGGGAGACGCCACCCATGTGTGGATGTGACCCGAGGTGGACCGGGAGACCCCCCCCATGTGTGGATGTGCAAGCCTGCCTTTGAGGGCAGAGGCATAGGCTCAAGATGCCCAGAGTTGTCAACAAGTGTAGTCGCTCAGGGGGTGAATAGAGAGAACAGAGTGCCAGGCTCACTCCCCATCAGAAGTCAGGGGGCTGGGTGAGGCAGCAAAGAAGTTGCTTCCTGTTAATGTGACAAGTGTGGGGTCCTGGAAGATCCTCTAGAAAGGGAGTAGACAATGATTGGGCAGAAATTTGAGCCATGAAGATGTTAGCAGTGACCAGGTAGATGAAGGAGTTGGGGACCCCACAAGAAAGAAGAGGCTGGGATCCCTGCACCCTCAAGAAGATGGCTCACGTCCCCCTGTCCCAAACGCTCTGGGACTGCACCTGACCCCACTCCCCCCTGCAGGCCCCTTCTGGATCTGCGCCACACTGGCCTTTGTCCTGGCCATCACTGGCAACCTGACTCTGGTGCTGGCCCAGAGGAGGGACCCCTCCATCCACTACAGCCCCCAGTTCCACAAGGGTAAGCCACACTGGCAGGGCACAGCAGGCTGGGTTAGGGTTGCCCACAGGGCTCAGGGGCACTGCCTGCGGTTCCTTCTGTCCCCAGTGACTGTGGCAAGCGTCACCATCTACTGCTACGCGGGGCTGGTTCCACTGGCACTGTGGGGCTTCCTGCAGTGGCGCAGGGGCGTCCGGGAGCGCATGGGGCCCTACTCCTTCCTGGAGACGGTGTGCGTCTATGGCTACTCCCTGTCTGTCTTCATCCCCACGGTGGTAAGTGGGCCCGGGGGTCGGAAGCCAGGCCCACAGCAGACACTACACTAGCTGATGGTCCTTGTCACCCCAGGTCCTGTGGCTCATCCCTGTCCCGTGGCTGCAGTGGCTCTTTGGGGTGCTGGCCCTGGCCCTGTCAGCTGCCGGCCTGGTGTTCACCCTCTGGCCTGTTGTCCGGGAAGATACTAGGCCTGCTGCCGCTGCACTCCTGTCCACGGTGGTGCTGCTCCACGCTCTCCTGGCCCTGGGCTGCAAGGTACGATGGTCACAGCTGAGCCCCAGCCCAGGGTATGGGTGGTCACTGCTGGGCCCTGGCCCTACACACTGCTCGACACAGGCAGTCATAGTGGAATATCAGCCCCAGGCTGCACAGTACGGGTGGTCACAGCAGAGCCCCCAGGCTGCAGGGTACAGGTTGTCACAGCCAAGCCTTGGCCCTGGGTTGCCCAGCACCAGTGGTCCCGCAGAGCTCCCACCCCCGGGTGCTGACAGCTGAGCCCCCGGGTAGTGGCTCCAACACTGACCCCAGGGGCTTGGTGCAGTTGTACTTCTTCCAGCCGCTGCCTCTGGATCACGTGACACCGCCACAAGCCACACTCGCACCGCCCCTCACAGTGCAGCCACCTAACCTGTCACAGCCCAACTCTGGCCCTGCAGGTACACAGTGGCTGCCGGCTGGGGCGGGCTGTGCAGCTAAGGGACCCCCTAGACTGGAAGTCACAGGGCTGCTTCTTGGATCCTCTCTTTCAGGCAAACCATAAGGGACATCTCTGCCTGACCTGCCCCCACACAGTCACTAAGCCGCCTTTGATACCTCAAGATCACTCTGCTACTTTCCAGATTTTTCTTACAAAGCAAACACTTTTATTTTCTATGCAAAGGTGATTCAGAGTTTATATAAAGGTGTGTTGAGGGGGTGAGCAGCCGAGCAGGGAGCTTCCAGTGCCACTCAGACAGCACTGCACAGGGCGATGCTGCCTCCCTTTCTCAAGTGCACACCAGGGCTTTGGACCTACTCTGAGCTCCCCCACATATGAGCTTGGGGTGTTAGAAAAATGGGGAGCAGAAGTAGAAGAAAACTTCCTGTGCTGAAACATACATTTCCTTGTTTATTTTGTTTTGGGGGCGGGAGTGGGGACAGGTCCCTGCAAGGCCCCTTCCCCATCCAGAGGGGAGGCGGGTTCAGGATGCCATAATACGTGGAGGGACTGGAGCATCTACAAGGAGGGGCACACAGGCCTAAGGACAGCTGTGGGGAAGGGTACCCCCACCACAGACCCAGGAGGTGTCGGGACAGCCCCACAGCCTCCAGGCTGGGCTCTGGGGGTCACCTGCTCTAGCTCAAGTGGGAGGGAGAGGGGACCTGCAGGGGCTCAGGGACAGGACAGCAGCAAGAGGCAGGGGCCAAGGACGGAGGGCCTCCCCAACAGCCGGGCTAGGTTGTACATTCAAGTGTGAGGTGAACCCTTTGGTGGGGGGGGTTGTGGGTACCCAGAGGTCTGGCTTGCTCCCGCCCCTGAAGACAGCCAGGCCACCCCCACTGCTGGGTCTGAGTCTGAGGAAAGGGTTGCTGGCTCAGCCCGGCCGGCTTGGGTTGTCGGAGGGTCTGTGGATTGACACTGGTTCTTTTTGTAAAAAAATAAAATTAAAAAAAAAAAAAAAAGCAGCATGTCACGCCCGTTGTGACCAAGGCCTGGTGGCTGGAAAAGAGGCCTGTCAAGGGGGCAGCCTCCCCACTAGACACAGGCGAGAGGAGGGGGCTGAGGGCCGGCCGGGCAGGGCAGCAGCCCCCTTCTCGATGCGCTCCAGATCTCAACATGCCTCTTACAGATGTCAAACCCGGGTCAGGGTGGGAGGGCAGAGGGGGCCCAGGGCTCCCGCAACATGATCTGGTGTAAAATATGGCAGCGACACACACTCAGGGCCAGGTTGTGGAGTTTGGGGACGGGGGCGGCAACATCGTGTAAAAAAGTGTCCGAGTTCCCATAGCAAAGAGGGCTGTGACGGGTCGGCCTTCTCCAGTCCAGGTGGGCCGGCCAGTGCGGGGCGGGCCGGCCGGCGCTTCATTTGGTTTCCTGGTGCTGTCAGTCCGTTCCTGACGTGATGCCTGAGGGGCCTAGCTCCCGTAGTGCATGGTGTTGGTGGGGATGGACATGGGCGAGGCCATCGAGATGGCAGGGCCACCCATGGTAAACTGGCTGTTGACTGCGTAGTGGGCACTTGAGCCCCCTCCACTGCTGCCTTGGGCACCCGAGGAGCCTATGGGATGAGGCATCGGCACTGAAGGGACAGCCCTGCCCTCTCGCCCACCTGGAACCCCCCAGAGCCAGAGAGAGAGCAGGCGAGAGGGCAGGCAGGTGGCCCGCAGGACGACACACTCACATGCTGGCTGCCCACCCACTGGAGCCCGCTCCGCCCCACCGTTACCTTGGACAATCCCCGTGCTCATTATGGAGCCCATCCGGGAGTGGGTGTGATTGACAATCCCCGTGTTGGCTGCGCAGCGAGAGGGAGGAGGGAAGGGAGACAGGTCACCGCCCCCAGCCTCCCCTGGCCTGCGCCACCAGCCTCCGCGCTCCGCTCCCTGCGCTTGCACACCAGGGGTGTGGGGAGGGCAGGCACAGAGGTGGCAGAGCAGATAGAATGGGGCCTCAGCCACGAGCCCCCCAGAAAAGGAAAAGACCAAGCAAAAGCCAAGGGGGGCAGGGCCCCAGCCCTTTCCCAGGCCCCACCCTGTGCTCCCACTGACCCTGGGGCAGGCACACTCACCTAAAGGAATCAGATTGTTGTGGCCCACGCTGGAGCCCCCCGCGATAACACTGCTCAGGTCATAGGCAGTCGGCATCCCTGTGCCCAGAGAGGGAGAGGTCGTGGTCAGGGCCAGCTCAGAGGCTGCGGGGCAGGAGGGCCTGGGCTGCCACCAGAGGCAGAGCACCAGTAGCAGGGGCAGTAGGTAGTGCCCCCCACTCCCGTGTGGCAGGTAGGCAGGTCTGACTCACCAGCCACAGCCATCCCGCTGCTGAGGTTGTAGGTGCTGCCTGTGTTCCACATGTTCTCTGAGGGAGACGTGTAGTGGGAGCCGGGTGGAGGTGAGGGTGTCGTGCCTGTGTATCTGTGCCAGAGACGGACCCATAGGCAGGGTCGAGGGGGCCGCAGGACCAGGAGGAGCCCCCCATGCAGGCCGACGGCCTGTCCTACCTGAAGAAGGGGTTTTTCAGGTCCAGGAGGTTACTGGATTTGGAGCCTGTCTGGTCTACCTGGGCCACAATACTGATGTCATAGCTCTGTCTGCGAAGTTTCGGAAGGGGAGGTGTGAGCGCTGGCTCGGCCCCAGGACCTGCCCGGCCAGATGGGGTGGGGAGCCCCAGGTGCCAGCTGTACCTTTTATTGGCAATAAGCAGACATGTCCCTGAGAGCGTGTCCCCGGCCTTGGCGAAGAGTGGTGACTGGAACAGGCACCGGACCTGGTACCAGTGGGTCAGAGGCTCCGTCGGGGCCGTGGACAACCACACGGTCATGCTGCCAGGAAGGGAGAGACGCGTGCTTGACTGGCCCAAGGCCACCACTCGGACCACTGCCCTGCACAATCCCTGATGTGAACACCCATGGTGCGCATGCACCCTCACACAGGACACACAGTGAGGACACACACAGAGACAAGGTCCCATGACGGAGTGGTACAGGACAGACATACATGACACCCCCCACCCCATTCCCATTGCTCATACTGCCCTTTGTAAAAGAGGATCCCAGAGGAGCCAGGCCGTGCCTCCCAGACCCCAGCTCAGTGCTACCCTCAGGCCCAGGGGTCTGCTTGGTTGCACTCACATGGAGCCGATGAAAGCAACGTCAAACCAGAAAGCCAGACCGTGAACCAGCCCTGAATGCAGCATGTGGAACTTGAATGGGATTTCTATCCTGGAAGGCAAAAGGTGGTGGTTGCAGAGGAAGTCAAACTCGCTGCGCTGCTGGGAGAGAAGGAGGGGTGGCCAGGGCAGAGTAGGACACCAGCCGACAGGTGGGGTGCGCCAGGCCTGGCAGCGGGGGGCAGGGCACACCTGTGCAAATCTCCTTCTTTGGCTTCTAAGAAGTTCACTGTGTACTTGACAGACTTGGCCATCAGGATCCGGATGTCAAAGGTGTCCTGGAAGAGATCACAGTTAAGACCATACTGCAAGCACAGGGCCAGCATGGAGGGGAGACCCTGGCCCTTCTCAGAGAAAGCTCTGTGCCTCGTCTGGCCATAGCTTCAGGGACATCTGGCAAAAGTCAGCCTGCCTTTCTCAGGCCTGCGGCTGGAGGAGGGACTGGTGCAGCTCAGCTCTCAATATGGCCAGTGTTCCAGATCTGTGTTCTGGCCATATGGCAGACCTACACATAAGGACTGTATGAAGCAGTGATGCCTGAAAACCATCTAATTAAGCCAGTGACGGCTCATCCTCAGAAGACTATGTAAACAGCAAGAGGGATGAAGAGGCCCTTTCTGAGCCGATAAGGAGAGAGCGCCCAAGATAAAATGCTTTGTGAAAAAGTAGCTTGTGTGCTGCCGCCCACTCAGCCGCGATGGAGATCCTGTCTCCCTGTCTCAGTCTGAGGCTCCTGCCAATAACCACACAAGCAGAATTAAATGCAAAGGGAAAAACAGGGTTTGAAAGCACTAAAGAGCAACCACAGCAACCAGGATTTGGGGGGCTGAGACCCCAGAGATGGGAAATGCACCGAGGGGAGCTTTTGTTCATGCTATGTGTCTTCGGGGTGTTCACCTATTTGCATACAGGCATATGGGCTGGATGGAGAGTGCGCCTTTTAGCAGCCTCCAGGTGGATGAGAGAAAGTGGGAGCAAAGGATGAGAGGCCACCAGGACTAGAGGCCACAATGCTGACTGAAGGGAAATGCAGAGAATGAGCTGGCCGTCCTGCACAGACTCTCCCTCCGAGCCATCTGCCAGTTCTGAGCTACTGAGACACCATGCAGAAACCACTTCTAAGAGACAAAATTAGGGAAAAGTTCAACAGTGTTCAATGTTCAAACCACTGATGGAGCCCACAGAAATACTACGGACACACAACGTGCGTGCCATGCAGACATTTTAATGCGGGTTACTTGGTTTCCACAAACTGTAAAAGGCACATACTATTTACTTAACAGAACCTTGTTGGGCCCGGGGCAGGGAAGAGTGGCTCTGGAGGCCACCCAGAAGCACCGAGAGCACAGACGGCCACCCTAACGCAATGGGCCTCAACATGGAGCGAGTTTATTTCCATATACGAAGACTCTGCTTGTCCTTTTTATTCTCTCTCTCACCTGTGATACCACAACAAACTGAACATAGAAGCAGTTAGGAGAATGAACTGTGTCCCTCCCACTAAGCCAAACAAAGGGGTTTGCAAGTGGTAAAACAAGGGCCAGTATTTGTGCTGGAAAATACTTCTGGAATATTTTTCATTTCTAAACTGCTATTTATGTAATAAACTCATTGCTGTCTATTGTTTGATTCAGTGGAATCAACCCGTAGCTGCCCCTCAGTGAGATTTCAGAGGCTCTGTACCACTCTCCAGCTTTCTCCCCTGGAACCACTGGTGACTCAAACTACAGAGGCTCTCTGCTCCTGGGGTTAGCAGGGCATCTCCCTACAAACGGTGCCACGAGGTCCACGTTATTTCCACATGAATTAGTAAGTATGTTCTTTTCAATTTCTTGACTTTAGATTTTCATATCAATAGCTAACAATAATTTATTAATAGGTGTAAGACACATCAAAGCTTTCAGATCCTCACTTTTTTTTTTAACTTATTGTGCGTGTACCATCAAATCAGATCTGACTGGTACAGGAGGGACATTTTCCCTCCTTCTCCGGCAGAGCATCTGGTGGATTTGAACCGCGCACCTCTGGGATTGCAGTACAGCTTCTTGCCACTAGGCCACCAGAGCTCCCCAGATCCTCACTTTTTAAGAGTGTGTCTGTGAACACTACCCTTCGCAGACCAGGAGACAGGACCAGTGCCAAAAGGTCAAATACCCAAGAACCAACGGGATGTGTCTGCCCAGCTCAAATTTCCTGCCCAAAGAAAAGGAAATCCTCTTTGGGATGAAAAATATCCTCCTGAGCCTCTGTATGTTTTCATTCTAACAGCCAATGGCCAGGCCAGCCCAGAGACCAGGCCCCGTGGTGAACCTAAACCCAAGAGCACACTGACCACTCAGCCAGTGACGTAATCGGAGACCATTAATCATGTTCGAAAAACCTTAACAATTGTGAAGAATGATGAGTGAAGGAAATGAAGGACTCATGGGCAACAGTTCGCAGGACTAATGAACCTCAACAATGGTGACCTCCATGATCCTGAGCCCAGACAAGCTAACTAGATGGTGCCCAGCCACCACTGTGGACCACGCTGAAAGAAGTCAAAATAGAGCATCCTAATAAACGAGGGGAAAACAAAACTCACAATCATAAAAAAGACCAGATTACTGGCCTGATGAAGAGATTGGCAGAGCCTCCAAAAGTATGGTCACCCTGGCAGCCCTGAAAATTGAATTCTAGACTTTGTAAGAAAACTTAAAAAAGCAAAAATAAAAAAAAAAAAGTAGAAAAATAGATTACACATTGAAAAGAGATTCACAAATTCAAAGACTTTGGTAGAAAATATGTAAATGAAGCCACAAAAGGAAAAAAGATGGAAAATTCAGAAATGAGTTCATCTGAGGGATGGTAAAAAAGCCCAAGAGTCTGATGTCACCTGCGTGGAGTCCTAAGACGATGAGGCAGGGGCAGTGTTTGCAGAAGTGGTCCCAAGCCCGCTTCGAACAGCACAGGACACCAAGAAAGGGGAAAGAGAATGCCTGACATCTCTTATTAAGCCAGATGAAGCAAAGAGCAATGAGATCAACAGAAAAACAGGAAAATGATGGATTTAAAAACACAAGTAATAAAAAAAAACAAACAAAAAAACACAAGTAATGCAATTCAATGTTAACAATCTAAGTTTCAAATTGAAAGACAAAAAATGTCTCATTATAAAATTATATATACTGCTTATAAACGAGACACAAAAAAAGGCAGAAAGTATAAAGATGGAAAAATATACACTTCACACAGATTGTGAACAAGACTTTAGCATTTTCACTATGTCCTGACGGGTCATGAGCTGAACTAATCCTATACAAAAAGACAGGACTCCACTAGGAACGAGTAGTAACCACACACCTATAAACACCTAATAAAGAGTTAAAATATACAAAGGAGGGTGGAGGGGAGAATAGGAAGAGCGGCTAGATAATGCGCACTGCACTGGAGCAGCTGAGGGACAGGACTGTCTGACAGGAGTGTATGATTAGGCGTTAGTCATCTGACAGCTCTGCAGTGAATGGGGGGAGGAAAATGTGCATCAATGAATGGACGAAAACCCAATCTTTCTGTAAATTCATTAAAATCAATAAAAATAATAAAGCAAAAACTGTCAGCTCTAATTGGAATAATACATAATCATCAACATAGGAAAGCAGAGGAAACAACCAGCATAGATAAGAGATTTTACAACATGATTAATAAAAGTAGCCTAGCAGACATTAACACAAACTGCATTCAACTAATGAGTATACATTTTCTCAAGTGCACACAGAGTGTCAACTATGAGAGAACACCTATCAGTTATAGAGCCACATTCAAAACAATTCAAGGGAGACATTAAGACAGCATTGGTTATGCTGTACTTTGAAAAAACAGGCAAGAGTTTGTACGTGCGTGTTTGGGTAAACAATTTCTGGGAAAAGAACAGGGAAGTACTATTTGCCTGCAGGGACCAGAGAGTCGGGAAGCTTTTCACTTTTCTGTTTCCTTGATTTTGTATGATGGGCTCAACCAAGAAAATCACCTCACTGGGAGTCAATGCATCTGATTAACAACCCACAAGTACTGCGTGGTGGCTGTGCTGAGTGCTCCTCGTCTTAAGGGCCTCTTTGCTCTCACACGCATCTGCCAGAGTGTTCTGTGCAGTGCAGAAACAAAGGCTCTGAGACAGGCAGGAGCTCCCTTAGAGCAACAGAGCCTGGCTGAGGCCCGACAAGTGAATGAGCCTGTGATCCATCACCCCAGAGATGGGCCATGCCCAAATGTCACAGTGCCCGCTGGTGCCCCACTCACCACCACAGGCTGCCGGAAATACTCGTCCACAGCGGCACCTCGGAGGGCTGACAGGTCCACTCCGTGGAAGGATGGCTGGTACCTGCAGGAAGCCCCCACAGTGAGGTCAGCAGCAGCAGGAGAGTGAGGTAGGCTGGCCCTGCTCTCCCTCCCAGCTAGTCCTCTCCCAGCCAAGCCTTTCAGATCCCGGTCAGAGAGAAGGGAGGCCCGAGGACACGTGGGGACTCACCAGAAGTTGGCCTTGGTGAACTGCTCCATGTAGAGCTGCTCATCCGTGAAGGGAGCGAGGTGGACATCACCAATGGTGGGGAACATGTTTCCTGGGAGTCGAGGACAGAAGGGAGTGCTGGTATCAGGGTGAGACACCTTGTAGGGCCTGGCATAGCCTCTAAGGGCCCTGGGCCTTCCCAGCCCTTCATGTGTTTAATACAGAGGTACTGAGAGCCCACTCTGGCAGAGGACACCTTAGCGCTGGGTATGTGGGACTCGTGGCTCTAGAGGGCAATCCTGAGAGGCAGCAGACCTCTCAGTATGTCCGATTACCAGGGCTGGGGACAGGAAGGGACCTTCTAGAAGCTACAAACAATCAAAGATGTCCCAGGACGAGGCCACATGTATCAGATGGTAGTGGCCCATGGACACGAAGCCAGGGAAAGCAGAGCAAAGCTTCTCCAAACAGAACAAGCATGGGCACCAGACTAGCTGTGGCCAGTTTATGTCTAGAGACCATAATGGAGGCCAGTAACTCTGATTAGGGTCGGCAGATTGCACCCACAAGGACAGCCCGGGGCACTGGCACAGATACCAGGCTGGCAGGGTGGGCCCTTCAGCCAGCATGGTCTGGCTCATGAACTGAAAGGAGGACAGAGGGGACCAGGAACCTCTGTTGTTTGGCTCAATAAGTAGACATACTAAGAGTCAGGACCAGTAGCTGAGAGAAGCAGGGCTCAGGGTTCTGGAGAAACCCCAGGTCACCTGGCTTCCAGATAGGGGTTCCTTTATCGTTCTCTGTAAGAGGACCTGAGATGCCCAACAACACTGCCCCACTCAGACTGCACCAGAGGCTAGAAACACTCACCTCTGGCTCAAAGGGCACTCTGTGGGCCCCCTTCACTGAAGGGAGAGCCTGCTGGACGCCTGGGGGCGTCATGGGGAAAGTGCCCTGGCCTGAGTGCATCTCAGGGCTCCTGCTGGCTAGGAGGTATGCAGCCAAAAGTAATCCAAAGAGCTTTCTGAGCTGGACTGCAGTCCCGTTCTGTCCAGGCTGACAGGGGCAGGGCCAGTGGCTGGCCCCAGGTCTCAACCCATGAAAGGAGCCAGAGGTGACAGGGACAAACCAAAAGCAGCCTCATTCCTGCTCCCACCCAGGTCATAGGCTCAGCTGCAAAGGAATGGCAGCCCCTCCCCAGTGGACCTCACGAAGGCACAGGATCGGAACAGTCACTCAGCTGCTATGAGGCCTCCTTCCTGCTATCACATTACATGCCATGTTCATGTACAGTCATATACCTTTACCTACACATGAAAACTCACACCCCCAGACCTGAGCACACTGTGACAAAGACTGCCAGATGTTTAGGGCTGCACAAAGCTGACAAGTGACACAGACGGGCAGACGTCAGTTATCCGGTGACTCAGAAGCAGCCCACATCCAGACGTGTGCACAGGCAGCACGATGACATGAACAGGAGGTGGCAGATGGACAGCCTGGGCAACTACCAGCCGCTACTCATCCAAAGCCGAGCAAAGCGCTTGCTCACGTGCACATCTACGTACACAACCCCCTCCATACACACACAGGTATACAGCTCCACCCCCACATATACACATACACACAGGCTCCCCCAAAGACACACACACACTGCCCCAAACACACAGACTCCCTGAAACACACAGACTCCCTCAAAGACACAGGCTTCCACCCCACACACTGCCCCAAACACACACAGACTCCCCCAAAGACACAGGCTTCCCCCCCACACACACTGCCCCAAACACACACAGACTCCCTGAAACACACACAGACTCCCCCAAAGACACACACACACACACACACACACACACACACACACACGCATAAGCTCCCCCAAACACACAACCACCCCCCTACGGACACAAGTACATCCCCCATGTATACTCAAGTACAAAGCTCTATCCCCATATCTACACATACACACAGCCTCCCCTAATATATACACATACACACAATCTCCTTCCTGTATCTACACATACAAACCACCTCTGTCATATAGACACAGTCTCCTCACAGCTCTTTCCCTCCCTCCTGTCTCACTCACAAATACAAACTGCCGCCTTTCAAGATCTCACACTCACGCACTCACATGTGCTCGTGCAGAGCCTCCTGACAACTCTCCCTTTCCCCCAGGTAAGGGAAAGGTTCACATTAAAAGAGTGAAGAAGACAGGTTAGCTCTTCAGAGAAACTGCCTGCCCGGGACATGATAACATGTCAACAACCAAGTCCCTCAGCCACTAGGTGCCACGGCAGCTCTATGCCCGAGTCTCTGGGCTTGAGGGCCCTGCAGAAGGCTGGGGGAGTAGGCACATGCATGTCTGGTATGTTTGGCACCTAGGGCTCCTGAATTCACAGTAGCTGGGATCAGCCAGGCTTAGGTGAAGGCCTACCGCTTCCCCTTCCTCACTGGGGGAAAAGCACACAAAGAGCTGAACCCTAAACATGCTGGTGGTGGTACACCCCTGACCCTGAGGTCCAGAGAGCCCCCAGAACTCACACTGCTGTCACTGGCTGCAGTCCGGCCCTGCCCTCCCTCTGCAGTCCTGGGACACTCACCACTGGGCTTCAGGTACTTCTTGGCGTGGAGATAGCTCTCCAGCATGCGCTCGTTGAAGAGCATGTAGCCCATGGGCTCTGAGATGATGATGTCCACCTGTTCGGGCAGTGAGACCTCCTCCACCTTCCCTGGGATGACCACGATGCGGTCTGTGAGGTTGTTACTCTTCACCAAGACCTGTGGGCGGGCATGCAAGCCAGCGGGGTCACGGAGAGATCCTTGTACCTATTCTCCACAGTGTCTTTGCGAGACCCCAATCCAACACTCCTCTCCTGTCCAAGGACGGCCTCTATCCACACTCAGACAACTAAGCCCACTCTAGCCCCTTCTTGTAAGATGCCTCCTTTTTGATCCAGAGCCATGACTAGCAAGAACCACAAAGACCCTGGCCTAAGGTCACCCCTGCTTTAGCCCCTGACCTGATTTATCTACAACCCAGGATGAAGTACACTTCTCAAGAGCTAGTCAATCCCAGGGTGCTGAGCTGGGGATTTACCCCTAGGCCGCATGAGAAAGGTGACACACAGTGAAGGGTCAGTGTAGAATGGAATGAATTGGGTGACAGGCTAACCGGCGGTCAACAGGAAGTGGCTACATACACAAACAACATGCATCCAAACCATCAAAATAAACAATAAGGTCTTTACATAATGACTGAGAACAGTCCCAGGATGCATTGTAAGAGCACGGCTAGTGAGAAATAAGAGAATGCTCCCATCTCTGTGAGTGACGGGGATGGGGTGGCGAGAGGCATTATGTTCACTGGAAAATTTATACTCTAGCTCTAGATTTCTCTCCGTCTCCCTCTACTGAGGGGTCTCACTAGTTAGGAGTCAGGAAGATAGGAGGGAAGTGTTTGCAACCTTGTAAGTGAAGGATTAAGTGGAAGGGAAAAAAACCCCCACAACATAATTCAACGAGATCTCAAGAAATCCTGTAGTCCCAGCTGCACAGATGTGAGCAGTGGGGCCTACGGAGGTGTAGCTGCTTACCCTAGACTATTCACATTGCCAAGTAACCACACAGCAGCCCACCACTCCCTTTAGCAGGAGGCTGACCATCCTCTAAAGACCTCAAATAGCCCAGTGGTCACCTAGGGCAGTTACGCAGGTGGCAGCCCAGTAAGCCACTCCCTCCACAACTACTCTGGTTTGGGACAAAGGCGAGAGCTGGAGTTATCGTAGGCTTCCTAGACTCGGGGCTCAGGCCTCCTGAAACTCCAGGCCTTCTCTGAAGGAGCCAGGTTCTTGAGGTGCCTGGTAGGGCCACTCTCGGCCTGTCTCACCTTCAGGCCGAGGCTAGAGTATGGTTCCAAGCAGACACTGACCTCCGCATGCTGGGCCATGGTGCTGGCCTCCACTGCGTAGATCTTCCTTGCTCCAGCTTGAGCAGCGAAAAACGACAGGATCCCAGAGCCACAGCCAACATCAAGAACGATCTAGGGGGGTGGTGAGAAGGCACTAGTGAGGTGACAGTGAACCAGGGCACCAGGTTAGCCAGGTTTGCTCCAGCTAGGCTGTGTCCAGAGTGCTCTCGGTGCATGGCTGGACCACTTAACAATACGCCTCCTACCCAGCGCAGGGAAGTGGTATCCCTCACTCAGAGTTGTTGAGTAGGGTTACAGCCCGGCCTCCTCTGCCTTTCCTCTCCATGTCTGCTCTCCCCAGGTTCTTGGAAAATCAAGAAAGAAAGCAGTAAGATCAAGCCATGGCTCAGGCAATGTCTAAGCTATGTGAGCTATGATCCCGCTGGATTCAGGGGTCAGTGCGGGTGGTAGGGGGAAAGAAGGGACTGTGGATAAGTCGATAACAGACAGGAGGTTTCCTCAGTGAGGATGGAGCCCAAGCCTGGCCCACTGCTGAGCCTGAGCCCTTGGCCTCACATGACACCCAGCAGCTCAAGTGAGAACACCTTGCTGTCAAGGGGTACCTGCAGAATGACCACTGAGGCTCAGGGTGGGCAGACCAGGCCCACACAGTGGACAAGAGGAGTAGCTTCTGAAGCCATGCTCTGCTGGGGCTCAGCACCCTGGGAGGAACCTTCCAGTGCTCACTGGACCCCCCTCCTGCAGCCCCAGGCTGCTGGGTCATCCAGGGTGAGGGGTGTGCAGTGGTGAGGTACCGCTCTGCAGCCCTCATGAAGGAAAGGGCGCTGGAGCGCTGGTGGTAGGTCCCCTGCCTGGAAAGCAGCCAGAGGTTGAGTAGGCTCAAGCTCAGTGGCAGCTGGGCTCCCTGGCTGTCTTCAAACAGCCCAGGCCAGTGTGTGGAGGAATGGTTCAGGTTCTGGGTTTCTGTGATGATTACTCATGCAGCAAGACTAGCGCTTCCAGCATGAATGCGGCAGAGGCAATGACGGGCACAGCACGTGATGAGCACAAGTGTGCCAAAGGAATGCTCTGGGTATAAAATGCCCTGGGACATCTCCCAGAGCTCTAGCTGAACCAGAACATGGGCCTCTGTCCTGGGAGACCCGAAGGGATGTTCCTGCAGAAGCAGACACCGCCTGGGCCCTCAGCCTACACTAGGAGTGGATAGGAAGAAAGCTGGGGCCAGGAGGGAAGATCACATGGCACACAACCATGTCACTTGCCAGAACGCCTTCCCAGCCGCAGGAACCATGTCCTGAAGAAGGGCTTTTCACACTGCTGGGAGTAGAATGCCACAGCAAGTTCACAAGGACCCACGATAATGTCCAAGGAAAACCCAAGCTCCACTTTGGTTAAAAACAAAACTGTATGAAAGAGCATGTGAAGACCAAGCTTTCACCTTTACACATGCACCACGTACTGCTGCTTCACTTTCTAGTAACAAACCTACACTACTTCCACACCCATCCATAAGTGTGTCACACTGTGATGGCTTATGTGCTGTTATGCCACCAGTTAATTCAACTACAAGCAGGGTCACCATTAGTGGACACGTTTCAGCAGTTTCTGGACTGAGACAAGACTAGGAAGAAAAAAGCCTGATGACCGAATTCCAAAAGTCAGCCCATGAAAATCCTACATATCGCAGCAGGATGGTGTCGGGTACGAGACTGGGAGACGAGCCCCCCGCGGAGGCCCTGCACAGCAACCACAACAATGGAGCGGGCACCACTGCTTATTTCATGCAGAGAAGGGCCGTCGTGAGCTGGAGCCGGCTCAACAGCAATCAATAACATACGCTACTTGCTAATGTTAAACAGAATGAAGACATTACAGAAGTCAGCACGTCCAATTTCCCTACACCATACGATAAAGCATGTTGCTAGGAGAGGCTGCTCATTGGAAAGTGACATCATGGTTGGAAAGGTCAGCAAAGAGAGGAAGACCCTCAAAAAGAAAGACTGACACGGTGGCTCTAGGGTGCCAGACGTGATAAGTACAAGATGACAGGATAGGACAGGGTTTACAGCTGTTGTTCGAGTCAGACGTACTCGACTCGACAGCCCCTAATGACAACAGACAGTACAACAGCGTGCTGGGTCCTCACGTGAACAATGTCTGAGCCAAACCATGGGTGGGAAAAAGGTGTTCTGCAGGCAAGAAATGCTTGAGATCATCTTGTTTTATTAAAATATGTATTTATGATGTCTGTAGGGGTGTGTGCTTAGACACACATATAAAATAGTCCTAGACCACGTGTTGGGATGTGGATGTGCATGGGAAAATGCAGAAAAGCTCTGGTATGTGGAGGGGCTGTTTTGGATGGAAATGCTAGAGGATCTCATGCCTACACTATAAACACTGTGATCTTTGAGTTTTTACAATGAGTAGATGTGATTTTTTAAAATTTATTTTATTTTATTATTTTTTATGTGTGTACCGTCAAATTGGATCTGACTGGTACAGGAGGAGACTGTCTCTCCTTCTCCAGCACAGCACCTAGTGGATTCCAACCATGCCCTTCTGAAATTGCAGTGCAGTTTCTTGCCACTAGGCCACCAGAGCTTGCCTAGATGTGATTTTTGTAAACAAAAAAAATAAAGATAATATCAATGATCAAAGAAAACAAAAGCAGAGGCAACTGAGAAGGGGGTGGGTACTGAAGGAAGGGGCACACAAAGCCTGTGACTGGACAGAAAAGGGGGCAGGTGGCCCCACTAAGCCTCGCGGGCACACCCAGGCCAGCTGGTCCTCAGCCTTGGCAGCCCAGGCTGGGGCCTCTCTCCTCACGTGGCCATGCTAGGCTCAGTGCTCACCTTGTCCTTGAAGTCAGTGTGGTTCTGCAGAATCGCTCGCTGGTAGGTGCCTGTCCGCACGTAGTCCTGCATCATGTTCTGCTGCTGTGACAGGTAGCCATAAAACTGGAACAGAGAGACACACTAATGGCAGCAGGGCACGCTACAGGACATGAAGGCCAAAGTCCTAAGGGTCCCATGGCAGGGAGACCGCTGGGAGGCTGTAAGCCCTCTGTGGGCACCTCCTGACCTCTCAGGATGGGCACAGGGAGCTGGAGGGCAGCTCTCAGGAGGTTCATTGCCATCATCCAGTCACTGTTCCTAGACAGGCTCAACCATAGGCTGCCTAAACCAGAATACCACCCAGTAGAACACAGATCAGCCCCTGGGGTGATTCTGGCATAAGGGGCCATCTGTCCCATCCTAGGGATCTCATGAGGAAGAGCAGCTAAAGAGAACCCCAGAACTTAAGAATGCCAGGCAAGTGAGATGCAGTGTCTCTCTTGTAAGACAAAAGGCGGTCAGGAGGCAGTGTGGCACCTGAGCAGGGCACAGGCCTTGTCATCAGGCAGACCTGGCTTCCCATCTTGGCTCATGTGAATAATAGCTGTGTTAGAGCAAATCATTTAACCTCTCTGAGCCTCAGCTTTCCCATCTGTAAAATGGGGAAAATAATAGTACTTACCTCCTAGGGCTGTGGGGAGAATTCAAGGGTTCTGGTCTGTACATATAAGAGTGCTGAGACCAGTCCCTGGTATGCACTAGTGGTCAATAAACGGCAACTGCTCTATCGCGATCATTCAAATGCCTGTGACCTTGAGCTTCCTCTACAATCAAATCCTTCTGCAACCCTCTAGGCAGACACTCACTCCTCCTTTTCACAGATGAAGAAACAGGCCCAGCAGTGTAGACCTGCCCAAGGTTACACAGCTAGGAATGCGCAGAGCCAGGATGAGGCTCAGGCTGGCCTGCCCTATGCTGGCCTGCCCTATGCTGAGGTGTCATGGTGCACCTGGCCCCTGCAGGCTGGAGGACTGGGTTAAGTGAGGAGGTCTGACGCAGGTGGACACCGCACCCACCTGGAAGTACTGCACAGCAGAGGACTCCTCCGTGCGCTCGCTGAATACGGACCGTTCCAGGGTGTGGCCTCGGCAGGTTTTCAGGATGTTGTAGAAGGAACAGAAATCTGGAAGGGGGTGCTAGATCACTGAGGGGCCAACCACCTGCCCCAGATGGCTGGCAAGTTGCCATCCTGGGGCTCAAGTGGGCCAGGGGCCTTCATATCTGGTTAGATCTCCTGGCTTTGCTCTGGGGAGTGTACCAGGGCTCAGGGATTACTTCTGTCCAAAAGCAGGGTTTCAGTTTAAAGAAAAAGATAGATAATCAAGTCCACTAATTGGTAACTGGCACCCAGCAAAGGCTGAGGCCCTGCTCCTGCATGCTCACTGAAGAGCAGACAGACCAAAGTCTCAGCAGTACACCTGCCATGTACCCAGGCTCTGTGCACCCCCCCAAGCAACTGAAAGTAGGGTCCAAGGCCTTTGAAAGAATCCATTTAGTAGCAAAGTGATGACTCCAATATTGTACCAAGTAAAAAGGGTGAACAGTATTAATGCAATATTTAAGAAACATAAATTGCAATTTTTGAAGACCATAAAAAGACTGAAGGATTTACATCACCCACTGTTCACAGCCATCCCTGGTGTGTCTTCTGAGCATAGTTTTTTTAACAATGTGTCTGTTTTATGTATTTTGACCAAAAAAAAAAAAAAACAGACTGTGGGTGCAACAGTGCCTTTCCAAAGGCCAGCTGGCCAGCCAAGCAGCAGCCTGTCTGACGCAGGTCCCTGGGAGACACCCCTATGGGGACCAGAGGAGAGGGAGACAGAGAATGATGCCCGGGAGAGCTAAGGGTGTCTGAGCTCTCCAATGCCCCTTCTCTACTGGTCAGTCCCAGGAGACTGACTCCTGGTGGGTGCCATCGTCCGTGAGCACAGCCTGGGCTCACCTTCCCACCTGCAGACCCCTCCAAGGCTAGCACCCACCTTCACCCGCAGGGCAGAACCTGCTCTCCACAACCCACTTCAGGCACATTGTGGGTCCACAAGTGCCCCCCTAAATGTCAGCAGGCCTCTCTATGCACAGAATAAATCCACTACCTCCCTCTAAGGCCTCATCCCTCCCCCATCCGTGGTCCCAGCTTTAGCCCAACTTCTCTGCAGACTCTGCAGAGGCCTGAGGACATCAGGACAGGATGTGTGTGTGTGTGTGTGTCCATCAGGACAGGACTCGGGTGTGTGTGTCCATCAGGACAGGACTCGGGTGTGTGTGTGTGTGTGTCCGTCCATCAGGACAGGACTCGGGTGTGTGTGTGTGTCCATCAGGACAGGACTCGGGTGTGTGTGTCCGTCCATCAGGACAGGACTCGGGTGTGTGTGTGTGTCCATCAGGACAGGACTTGGGTGTGTGTGTGTGTGTGTATGTCTCCTCGTCCTGGGCCAAGCAGTGGGACGAGAGTACTGATGAAAACATGGGGACCAACGGCCCCCCACCCTCCGCTCGGGGCGTACCGTTGGGTGTGGCGAACTGGATGAGGACACTGTTGCAGCCCAGGGTGATGATGAAGGACTGCTTGCCCACGCGGCTGCACTCCGTCTCTCGAGACACCGAGCACTTGAACACACACACGTCTTCATCTGCGAGAGAAGAGAGGGCTGGCGTCAGCCACAGGGCTCCGGGGTGGCCTCGTCTCCATCCCTCCAGAGTCCAGCTAGCAACTCACACAGCCCACCCTCAACGTAACTGGTGAGGACAAGCTGGGCTGCCGTGTCCTCAGGTCGAGCCTGGAGGCTGGGAAGGTGCTCACACAAGGTACCCCACCAGAATATTCCTTCAGGGAGTACACATCCAGATGCCAGGCCCTGGGGAACAAACACTGGAGACCACAGACTGAAAAGGTAACCATGGGGAGATCAAAAGGGTGAGGGAACCTGGCAGGGCCCGGCTCAGAGTCAATCAATCGTCCAACAAGCCTGCGCCTCACATACTTCAGACGCTCTAGCAAGAGGAGGTGGTCCCCAGGGCAAGAATCATGCTTGTTAGAGGTTCAGTGGAACAGAGGAAGACCCTCAATCAGATGACCTGACATTGTGGCTGTAACAATGGCTCGAGGACAAGGCAACCGTGAGGATGTGCAGGACGGGTAGTGTTTGTCTGTACACAGGGTCATTGGAGTCAGCACTGACCACGGGCACCAATGACTCCATCACACATGCCTGTGACCAGGCAGGCGTGGAAGAAGTCCCAGAGGCGTCCACTTTCTTAAGCCCAGCCCTGTCCTGCAGGTAACACCGCAGGGCGTGAACCCTGCCTGGTCCATGTCCCACCCGGGCCTGTCACTCAGTGTGTGGTGTGTGTGTGTGTGTGTGTCACTTAGCCGTTCTGAGTCTCGGTTTCCCTGGAAAATGATGAAGCGAGGATCCGGGAAGTCCTTCCCCTTGCTTCAAGTTGTTTCTGGCTCCCAGAGAGTCAGAAGCGCCCTGCTGGGATGCCAAGTCCACGTATCTTTATGGCACATCTTTTTCTTACAGACAGTTAAGAGATTTGAATAGTGGACGGTTCAGGCCACGGCTGGGTGCTTACCCACTACAGCTCCTCAGTAAGGGTCTTACCTGTGCTTATTAGCGTGCCTGGCACCAGGAAGTGCACGTCACGGACTCATTTGGCAAGCCCGCGATGCACCTCACCGTGGTCACACAGGGCAAACCCACATTCCGCGTGCCGCTGGGGGGCTGCAGAGCTGGTGCACCTGAGCCATACTCTCTCTGAGAACAGTCACAGGAGGCGACAGATCACTCCAGACTACGCCACAAGCTTCTGGTCTCCCCTCAGGAGACAAAAAAATCACTAGGAATTAACTCTCCAAAGGATGGCAGCTAACCATCTAACACAAAGTGTGGTCCTGGACCGATCTAACCCCGTCACGAGCCACGCAACACAGACTCTGGGGGCTAGTGAGAAACTGCGTAACTGAACTGCGTGAACCTCAAACAGGCCTCGTCACATCAACTTCAGCACCAAAGACGTTTCGGGACAAGTGTGTTCTACTAATTATACACAGATCTGTATTGCTTCTAAACAAAGTTGAGGCTTTTTTCTTCCTATTTGACTCAAAATGTCTTCCATAACTGAAAAGGTCTCAGCAAAAAAACTCAAAGCAGGAAATAATTGGGTCTTGAAAAGCCAAAAGTTTAAAAACCTGTAAAATACAACTAGAGGTCACAACCAAACAAATGCCTGACAAGACAGGTTTGCAGGCTCAGGACACAGTCCTGAGTGGAGGACAGTTGAGTGCAGTAACTTGGTCCACCAGCACAACAAATTCATGAAAGCAACGTGGACAGTCTTGTTCAGTGAGCGGCATCTGGGGTCTTAAAAGATGGCCAGTGGTGACCAAAGATACGATTACTGGTCTCTACTCAACAGGACTTAATGAGAAGGAAGTAAACCAGACTCTAAGGTGCATGGAGGCCACCCCACATGAACCATGGCCTGAGGCCAGAGAACGAGATGAGGCTGGGCTAGCACCACTGACCAGACATCACATAAGACAGAAGGAGGGGGCAGGGAAATTATGGGGGGGGAAAGGCTGGGATTCATGGATCAACAGAGACTACAGGAACCCTATGACTATCACCCTTTTGACTTAGGAACTGAAGTCACCCCAGCGGCCCTGTTCACCATACAGGAGACTGGACCATAAACTCAGCAGTACCGCTCATGGGGGCAGGGAAGGGAGGAGCGACCAGAGACACAGAGGATGAGGCAGGCACGAGCGAGGTAACCGGACATGACCACACATAGCATAGGGTCCCGAAGGACAGACAGTGCCTTGTTCTTAGACGATACAAACAAAGAATCTGGGGTGAACTCCAATGATGTCTGCAGCTTGCTTCTGAGAGGATCATGAAACTGACAACAAAATACAGGAAAGAAAATACCACAACAAAACACAGGCTCAAAGAGGAGCTGGAGGGCAAATACAGAAAATTGCTCCACAAAATTCTGAACCCCTAAAATATTTAAGACGCAACACATTTCCTTTTTTTCAAAGCCTACTACAAAGCTATCGTAGTCCACACCATGTAGCACTAGCATGTTGTTAAATACGCTTCTGTCGGAACCCACCCATAGCTGATCTCCAGTGCGCTTTCTGACAGGAAATCACACAGGAGGAGATGGCCCATCTTTTTCCTGCAGGGCAGCTGGTGGATTGAAAGCACATGCCTTTGGGATGGCAGCACAACGCCTTGCTACTCAGTCACCAGTTTAGGCTTAAGCACAGACACAGGGCAATGGGAAAAACCGAGACTCTAGAAAGAACTCATTTATCTATGGCCAAATTCTTGACAAGGGTACCCAAAACATTCAAAGGGGCAGGAAAAGTCTCTTCAACAACTGTGAGAGGAGAGCTGAATCTCCACTTATAAAAGAACGAAGTTAGGCCCGTATCTCTCACCATATACAAAAGTCAACTAAAAATGAACCCATGAACGTAATATAAAGTTAAAACTTATGAACTCAAAAGAAAACAAGGATGCAAATTTCTAGGATCCTGTTTCTGGCAATGAACAGATCTAACACTAAATACAAACGTGCATAATACCTTAGGAAAAATAAGTGGGACTTTAAAAAATTAAAAACTTTTGCACATCAAAGATACTATGTATCCCTGTACAATTAACAGAACTCAATTAAAGAAAGGATAGGAACAAAACAAAAAAAAAGATATTATGTAGAAAGTGAAAGAACAATCTACTATAAATGAGAGAAAATATATGCATATCATATCTAGTATCCAGAATGTATAAAGAACTCTTACAACCAAGCCACAAAGACAATTTAAAATGAGGCTAAGGATTAGAACTTCTTCAAAGATAAATCAATGTCTAGCAAGCACATACAAAGATACTAAACTTCACTAGTGATTAGAGAAAATGCAAACTAATACCACAATGAGGTGCTGCTTCACACTCACTTAACCCAAACCCAAACCCACTGCCATCAATATGATTTCCAGGCAGAGCAAGCCCTCCTGAACGACAGAGCAACCCCTCCTGTAGACCAGAGCAACCCCTCCTGTGGGATAGAACAACCCTTCCTGTAGACCAGAACAACCCCTCCGTGGGACAGAGCAACCCCTCCTGTGGGGCAGAGCAACCCCTCCTGTAGACCAGAGTAGACCAGAACAACCCCTCCTGCGGGACAGGGCAACCCCTCCTGTGGGACAGAGCAACCCCTCCTGTGGGACAGAGCAACCCCTCCTGTAGACCAGAGTAGACCAGAACAACCCCTCCTGTGGGACAGGGCAGCCCTTCCTATAGACGAGAGCAACCCCTCCCGCAGGACAGAGCAGAAATGCAGGGGGTTCCCAAGCTGTAAGTCTTTATGGGAGCGAACCCCATACCGTTGCCCCCCATACTGTTCTCTTGTATGGCAGCTAGTTCAAATTGTCACCTTATTGGTTGGAAGCCAAATGCTTTACCCACCAGGACTCCTTTGCACTAATGAATGCCCCACGGCCACTGGTGGACTCCACCTCACAGTGGCCCTAAAGGATAAAGCTGAGCTGCGGCGCAGAGCCGACCCTTACGGAAGCTCCTGCCTCATCTTTGTCCCGTGGAGCAGCGATGAGCTTGAGCTTCTGACTACTGACTAGCCGCCGAACGCTTTCATCTCAGCGCTACCAGAGTTCCTGCACACTCACTAGGGTGGCTGTAATATAAAAAGAAAAACGGAGAGCATCGGGAATTGGCTCCGCGGTGGAGAAAGCAGGGTGAAGTCCACTGCCGGTGGGACTGTACCTGGTGTGGCTGCTGTGGAAATGCCTGATTCCTCAGTTTAACTCAGAGTTACCACATGACACCACTCCTCCACCTGCAGGAATATACACAAAACCCCAAACCAAACCTGAAACCAGATACTACAGCAGCATCATTCACAATCGCCAACAGGTGGAAACAACTCAAATACCACTCAAAGGATACTTGTTAAACAAAACACAATACATATCCATACAACTGCCTCTCATTCATCCGTAACAGGAATAAAGGCGGGTGTGTTTTCTGTAGCATGTACACCGTGGATGAATCTGGAAAACATTACACTGAGTGAAAGAAGCCAGACACAAAGACCACGTATTGTATGACTTCATTTGTATTAAATATTCAGAATAAGTGTATCCACAGAGACAGAGTGAGAACTGGTGGTTGCCAAGGGCTGGGGGAGGGAGAAGCTGGGAGTGGCTGCTTAATGGGTACTTTCTTTTTTTTCCCAGGGTGATGAAAACGTCTCAGAACTGGACAGACGTGATGTCTGTGCAAAATCATGGATATATTAAATTTCGCAGAACAGAACACTCTTAAAATGCTATTACACGAATTTCACCCTAAGAAAACTCCCCAGTGGGTGAGTGCAGACAAGAGCCCCCAGGTGATCCCCTGCAAGCAATGGCCACAGGCAAGGGACTGCCTCTAGAGGAGTCCCTCTGCATGCCCAAACTCTGCCAGACCTCCTCAGACCCAGAAGCCAGATGCTGCCCACCCGAGGAGCTGGGTGCACCTGGCTCGAGCCTCCTGACCATGGACTGGCAGGAAGAAGACACCAGTTGACAACTTGGCCACACTGCACCCATGGG